CTACTGCAATAAAAGAGGGACATTTTAAGCCTTTTGCTCGTCTTTAACAGAGCCGCTAGTAAGTTTCTGTGTGACCCGGGATTTACCAGCTTTCCTTTTCAGTCATAGGGAAGCCTTACGACTACGGCATTGACATGTGGTCAGTTGGCTGCACTTTATACGAGCTATACACCGGCAAAATCCTGCTTCCTGGATCTTCCAACAATCACATGCTGAAGCTGGCGATGGACCTCAAGGGCAAGATGCCCAACAAGGTAGCGTTGCATCACGTCCCTTCAGTGAAGTGAGAAATGTTGCTGTTCTTTGATGCAACTGTGTGGATCCTTTTCTTTAGATGATACGTAAAGGCTTGTTCAAAGACCAGCACTTCGATCAGAACTTGAACTTCCTGTACATTGAAGTTGACAAAGTGACTGAAAGGGTAAGATGATCTTAAGATTTATAGTGCTTTGCAGAAGTATTCATCACCAATCAACTTTTTCTTGTTTTTCTTCATGAAAAAAACACATTTTAGTAAATTTTGTTGATCTTATGATAAACTAACACAGACTGTAAAGTAGGACGTAAATTACAAAATGTTTATATTCATCCCTACTTACTCTGACACCCCTAAATGAAATCGAGTGCAACTCTGAAAGAGAACATTAGCATTCAAGATTTTTCCTGATATTTGTTGTGTTTTCTGGAATTAAATACTTGTTTCTTCTGTAGTGTTTGTTGCAATTATGAGAAAGAATTAGGTTCGAAATAACAATAAAATTCAAATAAAATTTTGTAACACATCAAAGTAACTTTTCTAGAAATTGGGGTCATTATTCAGGTATTAACTGAGGTGTTGCTATGCTAATAAACTGCTCCCAGTTGTATAAATACCTGGTTGCCACAGATATGCATCACAACAAATGCCTGAAATAAGAAAAAAATTAATAAATGAGGGCAATAGTCCTTTCATTGTTGCACACCATCCTGGACCAAAGGAATAATTATCCAAACATGCAATGGGTTAAACCAGAAAAAAGAAATGAGCTGAGCTGTTCCAGCATGCTCCCTCCTTGAGCTGCAAAATTCATATCTGTTTAGAATTTTCCTTCCGCTCGATAATTCTTTAGTTTGTGTTGGTCCACAACATAAAATCTCAGTGAAATATGGAGAATTTTATCATTATGACAAAATGTTAACATGTTGAAGGGGTGATGATACTTTTGTGCTTTTATTTCTTGCTTTTTTGTTGTTTGTGTTTACTATGATCTGACATGTCTGTGGACCAATAGGAGAAAGTGACTGTAATGAGCACTATGAACCCTACCAAAGACCTGCTGGCGGAGCTGATAGGCGGGCAGCGTCTTCCTGAAGACCAGAGGAAGAAGGTCATGCAGCTGAAGGACCTGCTGGAGAGCACGCTGATGCTGGACCCAGCTAAGCGCATCAGCATAAACCAGGCTCTGCAGCACCCTTTTATCCAAGAGAAAATCTAACGCCCTTAATGCCACAAACACTCCAAGAGCCAACTGGACAGAATCAACCACTAAACCAGCTTTGTAAGGGACTCTGCAGCAAGGCGTCTGACCTCTACAGATTTACAGAATGTCATCTTTGTGTTTTGTTTTTTTCCTGGTCTGCGTTACATGTTTTCTTGTAAATAGATCACTGCAACGGTAGCCATTCTGGACACGCTGACTTTCTTTTGGTTTTCTTCATAAACCCTCCCCTCATACGCTGCAATACAGTTGCAGCGTATTGCAACTGTATGCAGACTTTTTATTTAACGGGCACTGGAGTTACAGATGTTTAAAAGAAAACGTATAATTCCTGTAAATATTTTGACATCTATTGCATCATACAATATCGAGCAGCAGACGGTTGAATTTTGTCGTAGAAGCAGACGTCATGTTTCAATCTGGCTGTGGGACGATGCATGCTTTTTGAATGTGCACCCTCTGTACTCTGTATGTGGTGCCAGCCTGTGTAAATGCTCCGTGTCTGCAAACCCCACGTCCCACATGCAACGGTAAACCGCACCGACTTCATCCCATGCTCTGATACTTGACCCAAATTGAAGGAAAAGATGCATATGCATTCTTGATTAACTTTAAATTTCTATTTTTTTTGTGTGTTTTAATCCTTTTCCTTTCCTTCCCCCTGCACTCTGGCTACATCCTGGCTCTAAAGGCTCTCACATTCAAGTGCCTCCAGTATGAGCCTGGTGTTTTATGCACCAAACAATGCTGGCCTGTAGAAGCCACACCTGTTCTCCTCGCCCTCCAAACGTTGTGTGTATATATACAGTCCACAGTTACTGTCCTTTCCTGTATCTTTAATTCGTTTCTTTACATCCAGTGGTAAAACAAATCTTGTGATTTCAATAAAGAATAGTCGTGGAAACGCTGCTGAAAGAGCACCTTCAGTATCAAATGGCTTTTTAGTAATAAAATGTTTCCCATTATAAACTCGTATTTTTTGTTTTTTTGTCATGCTGCATCACACTTTCTGATTAACTCAAGCGGTGATAGGTGATATGATCACAGGTTTTAATATTAAGTTACATTTAAAACATGAGTTATGCGCAGTGATCTATTCAGTCTTTTTCGGTCAATTTTAACTATAGCTAACAAATAATTGCAGAACACAAATGCCAGCCTATTCAATAAATGAGAATACTATTAAAAAGTTAATTTATTACAGTAGCTATATTCTCATTGTAACATGGTAATTGCACAGACTGATTTTTTAAAGCTTTTTATTTCTGATAATTTATTTCCCACTTACAACTAATAACATGACATTTAAGATTAAAATTTTATGTCAGACTAATACAGAAATATGGGTGTAATATAGTGTATGTTTAATGCCTGCTGAAAGGTTATTTTAAACAGGAACTTTTAATCTGACAAGTTTTTGGCACTTTGCTGAATGAGGGACTGGTGCGCTTCACACAAAGCAGAAGAATAGGTAGAAATATTGAAGCAACATATTAAAACATCAGACAAGAATTTAAATGAGCATAAATACGATTGAGTGGCATAAGAACAAATCTATGGACTTGGTGCCAAAGACAATTTGTCAGTTGAAACGATGTTAGTAAAGAAGTTGAGATACAAACATGACTGATACACATGACAGCAGGAACGGGTCAAAATTCCAGGAAAGTAGGTAGAAACTTGTTGAAGAAAAACAAAAACTCATGTTTTGGAGGAAATTCTACCAAATACAAAATGCATGTTAAAAAAGAAGCCATTTAGCTGCTAAAAAGTAATTTTGGCCATTTCCTGAAACCAGAAAAAGTTACATTTAACTTCAAAAAGTGAGAAAAATAAGAAGTGTCTTTTAAGGACAGTTTATGTGAATACCTACTTTGGCTCTATATGAATCCCTCTTCTTAAATGTAATCACTGGAATAAATTAGCTTTTGATGATATTCAGGTTATTGAGATGAACCTTTAAATTTACTCAGGATTGCACATGTGTTGAGCTCTCAAGGAGTTAAAAAGGTGGCCATTTTGCTCCATTTCGAAAAGTAGGGTGATGCAGGGTCTCTCTGTACTTGTACAGAACGTCCTAAAAGGGGCCTCTGATAGCAGCTGATGGGCCGTCAACCTCAAGGGTCTGTAAATACACAGAGGCTGCAGTGGGAGAACCACCGGTAAACATGTCAGCATGAATGACCTGATTGGCTAACAGCTGCTGGCTTTAATCTCCACATGAAGAGATGATGGCATGGCTGCCTTTAATGTGAATATGTAAGCAAACTAGTCATTTCTGGATATCACATTCATAAGAGCAGAGGCCAGAGACTTACTGAGCTCCAATCTAATATTGTAATAACTCAGAAGGATCAGAAGAGGGAGTCAGAGATGGATCAGAACTTAACTGGGAACATGTCAGGAGTTTTGGTTTTTGCATTACGTTGCTTCACAAAACCTCAATAAAAGTAGTAGGCTTAGTCCTTGTCTCAGCCGCCACAGGTTCAAGTTCCGGACTGATGACGTTCCCTCCCTCACTGTCTGACCAAATCTCAAAATAAAGTCAACTGCAGAAAATAAAACCTTTAAAAAATTGTAAGTTTGAGCCTGATCAGGGCATAATAAAAATAGTTCCCAAAATGTTTTTCAATTGGGGAAGTCACAGGTTAAGTTATCAAACAACTGCTAACTGCAAAATTCAATAATCTTGGAACAATTATTTCATTCTTATTTGGTTCCCCACCTCAGTTTGTATGTTTTACACTCAGTATCAGGCCTGGATGTTTAGTAAGGAGGCTCTGCAACATCTTTATCTGATTTTGTTGAAGATTTGCTGCCCCATTTGGTATTAATTATATTTTATGTGACTAACATTCATACTTGAACATTTTTATGATGAAACTGAATCCTATGTTCCAACATGCATGAAGGGAACGCTTTGTCTTTGTCCAGTCTGAGCACTTCAGCTTGTCTTTTCACAATCCAAAACTATTTTAAGTCTCTCATCCTAAACATCTCCTTCAGTCTGAATCAGCTTGAAACCCGCTAATCAGGGGAGCTGAACGCTGCAGATTTTGGTTTAATCTGACAAGCAATTTAATAGGCAGTAAGTGGGGATTGTAGTAATATTTGGGCTTTGTGTGGAACATGATCCGTGTTTTTACGTTTGTGTTTTATTCAGTTAGAGCTTCAGCAGCTCTCTGCTGATAATCACAAATGATCATAGCTAACTTAATTTGTAATCAATAAAATCAATAGCTGCCTGTTGTGCAAGAGGTTGCGTTCTTTACAGTGCCCTGGAAAAATATGTCAAATATTTGTCATGCAGCTAAACAAATGTGAGTATATTTATAGTTTATAAAATTGTTTCATTTATTAAAATAGCATTCACTCTTACCTCCTTTCTGTGTTTTCCATATAAGCATCTAACATTTACAGTTAGATTTTCCTTTGGAAGAACAATGGTTTAGATCATTTTTGTAATCTGTCTTTATAATCCAAAACTGTCACATGAAAAAAAAATTCCCAGAGTCTAAAAATATATTTTAATTTTTTTTTTTTTTTTTATTAAAACCATACAAACATTTGTTGTCAGTTATAAAAGTGTGACGCGGTTCTTCTGGCGAAGGTGCAGAGCGCTGCAGCCAGATCTGCCCCTCCTCTAACTGAGGGGGGCCTGGGAATCCTTGATTTCAAAGTTCTTTATTGGTCCCAGGATACTCCACGTTTCATTTGCTAAATCTACAGAAAGAGTATTTTATTTACATATATATATATTTATATATATATATATATTTATATAAAAGCACAATAAATGTGGAAACTTGGAAAATAAAAGAAAAAGTACAATGTATGTTGCAAATCTTTACTTTTCAGATATTCAGACTTTCCTTATATAAATGTTCTCTTTAATTTCCTTTTAGGTTTTAAAGTTTCACCTTTTTCTCAGTATTCACAATGGAAGATTGGCAGTGATCTCTCTCGTTTAAGGCACATACCTCAGCCCATTTCCTTCTACCAAAGGAAATGATCTCTACTTCTTGGAAATAACAAAAAATAGAACTCCAATGCACAGCTACAAAAATGGCAAAAGTACCCAAGGACAAATAAAAAAAAAGAAAAACATAAAAAAAACACTTTTGTACCTCATTGTTCCAATGTTGAATGAAAGGTAAACTCCTCAATAATCAGTGCGCAGCGGCAGAAGACTGCAAGGCAAAACTAACACTGCTGGACAAAGTCTCTGCAATACTTGATGGCAGTAAGCATTAGGGGTGTGATAGCACACGTGAAGTTGGTACAGGTACGCCATGACAGCACAGAGGCAAATGCAATATGTTCTTTCAGTATTTACTGGTAAGATTTTTGTACTGGCAGAGGATAAGCAAGGACAAAAATATTGAAGTTATTTTTTAGTTTGAAAATAACTTACCTTAGCATCAAATAAAAAAAGGTCCAAAACTTCCTAAATGCAAAAAATGCTTCCATTTAGTCTTTTTAATTTAATTTGAAAACTTAATTCCAAACAAATGACAAGACAGAATAACTAGGTAACTTCTCCTAATTTGAAAACTCTGGATCAATAAGCATTTAATAGCAATTTGCTGTTTGAACACGAGGTGGTGCTTGTGATGAACTTTGGGAAAATTAAAAATGTGTCTGAACTACACAAAGCATAACTTAGGTGCAAGGAAGCTATTTTATTTCACGGCCGCCTGTCAGCTCTGTGTGTTTCCATTATGGGGTCCTAAATAAGACAGCTGGCAGAAATGACGCACACTGAGGCTGTGAGGCTCCAGCCCCTGAAGGAGTCTTGCTGCTTTTCCTATAAGTGATCCATAGAGTTCCCCTAATACAGCATTATTCTTGTGTTGTTTTGTAGTGGTTGAAGTATAAAACCTAAGAAAAGCCTCTCCAGATGGTGGAAGTGTGTAACTAGAATAGATCGTAAAAGACCTGAGCAATCCCAACTCCCGTGGATGTACATGATGTCAAATGTATAAAAGACATATAATACTGCTTATCATAAGCCCTCTGTGATATGAACAACTTGCCAATGTTCATTCTTCATTGTTCCCATATCACTGGAAACCCTTACTCTCCACACTGCTAATCTTCAGAGTTATGCTTGTAATTGTTGCCAGCCATTCTTGCATTGATTTGGTGAGGAGTGCTTTAGAAAGTCTGTCAATCTATTCATCTTTTCTCATAGTATTTAACAAAAAAGCAGTAAAAAGCTTCTTTGACTAGGAGTGGTGATCACCTGTGACTGACCTATGTGACATTTGACTGCGTGTACTTCAAGTGACGTCTGTACCATGGTGGCTCAAGGGCGTATACATGAGCCATCACACCCCTAGTACACATTATACATTTTAAGAGCTTTGGAGAAAACAATACATACAATTTACAATCAAACAAAAACACATCATGTTTACAGGACCTCTATGCTGAAGACCTTTTCATGAGCTAAGACATTTCAAAACCATAGAAGTACTCATATCGATCCAGGTAACCACACGCAAAGCACCAAGATGTATAGAACAGAGCGTCCGTTTACAGATCAATTCTGAAGAGTTGTAAAATCCAACATCAAAAATCGAACCACAAACAGAATACAAAAACACCTCTACAAACACTTGTGAGTACCTTACCAGACTAACTAAAATAAAGCCATTAAGATATCAAGTAGACAACGATCTACAGAGGCTGAAGACTTGGAGTTGTAGTCCTTTTTTTTTTCGTTTGATTGGGAGGGGGTTGACGAAAATACCACTTGGTAAAACTTGGTCAAAGCACTGAAACATTTTACAGATTGACAAAAGCAACACAAACAAATGAGAATATAGCACAAATTAAAACTATGATGTATAAAGTTGTCCGCAGGGCCTTTCAAACTGACGACCCATGTCTCAGCCGCTGTGTGTACCTGTGACGTTAGGAAGGTTGGCACGTGGGGCTGGTCTTTCTAGTCCTACAGACAGTGTTCAAGGTTTTACTGGAGTTACATGCATTTTTACAAACAGCTAAAACGGTGACACAATACTGACTCAAGGAAGATGAGCTTTGTCTCACCAACAAATACAAAGAAAAGGGCTTCCAAAAATAGCCTTGATTCCAGAAAAGGAATATAATTTTATCTGTACATATTCATGGCACATCCCTGTTCTGTTGGGGATGATATTTTCCTAATATAAAATGGTTTGGGAACGGTAACTTCTTATAAGGTTCCTTTAATTGCCACTTCGTGTGTCTTAATCTTCACATACACCAATTGTTTTCCTCTTTCTGTTTTCATTTTACATCCCTTTTGGAGGAGAAAGTGGAGAGAAGGAGCAGCTATTGCATTATAGCTAAGAACTTGCTCTCCTCAGCGAGGGTGGTGAGGAGGGAACTCATGTCTCCAATGGCCATGTTGCTGAGACCGGGAGCAACACTGTTGAAGGTGGTGGATCCTTGAGGTGTGGTGAGGCGTGATGAGGTCCTAGACAGGCCCTGGAACATAGAGGGACTCAGTACCTCAGAGACCAGGCTTCCCTGATCGTAGCCGTCCTCCAGGATGGCGGCAAAGTCCAGATTTACACCTTCGTCTAATATTCCTGGAACTTGGCCATCAACTGTGCTACTGACTAGATCTGTACCAGGGGAGGGAAGGGCATTTGTGGTTCTGTTGCAGCTGCCTGGTCCCTCAGATGCTGCCATGGACTCTAACAAACTCTGCTCTTTCAACACAGGGAAGGAAGAGGACTTGCAGTCGGCTGGTCCATAAGTAAGACAATCTGAAAAGGTTTGTACCATGTTTCCATGATCTAGGTTCTCTAGTTTTAGCCCTGATACATCACACACAAGAGAACACTGGTCTCCACTCCTCTGTAGCTGTTGGGGTTGGCTGGGGTGTTGGTCGATTTCATTCGGCTGTGGATTGAAGTACTGCTGGGTTTTGACTACATTTTTGTAATTGTTTATTGGTGGATATGGAGCATGTACTGGTTGATTATGATCTGGAACGGTTCCCTGGGACAAGTTGGGTACACTGTCCATGGAGGCCCTGGTAAGCATGAGATTGTTTCCAATCTGCCACATGGTTCTACTGTTGTTCTGTTGGAAATGACTCTGTTTCAAAGCCCCATTGGACATCTGCTGTTTAAGACCTTGAGGAAGAGCCCCATTGATACCCTGTGAGATGTTAGACATGCTGGTACCTCTCATCTCCATGCAGGAATTGGGCAGTGTCTCCAGCTTCACCCCATGGTTAACATAACTAGTACTTTGCGACTGGTTAGCCTGTGGGCAGCTGCCGTGGAAATCCACAGACACCTGCTGGGGAATCAGTGTGTTTCGTAACCTGCCAGTTGATGCAGTTGTTGGCTCAGGCCACCTTTCGCATTGCATGTGGTGGCTTTGTAACCTTTGGGGAGACCTTTCAACACTACCTGAGCTTACTTCATTCCACTGAATGGGAAGCTTACTAGGACTCTTCCTCTCTAGTATCTGCTGTGGCTGGAGATAGTGAGATTCAGGGAAGGTACAGTTTACCCCTGCTTCCACAGCGGGGTAGGTGTTGTCCCTTTGGCTAGAATCTATTTGCCCTTCATTTTGAATGTATGAAACACCACCCAGTTGTTCTTGGGAATGCAGATACTGCACCAAATCATCTGGCAAAATATCTTCATCTCCAAGAAATAAGCCGGCTACGCCATCATCCTCCATTGCCAGGGCTTCCAAGGCTGCATTTTCTGCAATGCTGCCAGTGTTTGATGAATGCTGCAAGCCTCTCTGCAGGTTGCCCTCTGAGCGTGTGTAGTTCTGAAGGCTAAAACTTCGATATTCAGCTGTAGTGTTATGAGCCAGAGGGGGAAGAGGATTGAGATTATTAAGGCTGTTGAATCGTTGAACTGGAGGCAAACTACAAGTTTCAGGAGCCTGTGTCCGCACTGGGTCACTCGCCCTTCGGTTTCCATTCAGAGTTCCCTCGCCAGGATAAAGAACCCTCCTTCTATAACCTCCATGCCCCATAAACCCATTGTTGTACCTTCCAGGGTCTTCACCACAACGGGGTGGTCGGACTAAAGGCGGTAGACTATGATTGCTGCTACCCTCCTCCATCATGGCCATGCGGGTCTTCAGACTCATGCGTTCCATGTTGGGTAGAGGTGTTGGGGGTGGGCCGCCAGTAGCTGCTGCATACTTTGCCTTAAGGCGGTAATGCTGCGCAGGGGTTAAATTGAGCATTCCTCGTGACCCACCTCCTCCTCCAAAGCCAACTCCTCCTCCGCCTCCACAACTCCCACCTGAGAGTGCTCCAACGCCTCCTCCTACTACTCCACCGCCGTACTGGCTAGCCTCACTGGATCGGCGGGAGGCATCTGTGGAGATGGGGTCATAAGAGTCACTGGAACTGAGATTGTGGAGGCGGCGGTGGCGCTGGGACGGCATCATGCCATCACCCTGGGAAGCCTGGCTGGAGCGCCGGCTGGAGAAGCAGGGAGAGATTCCCGAAGAGCGTCGGCTGCTGCTCAGGTAGGCTGAACTGGCGGCGCTCCCGCTGCTATCGCGCCGGTCTTGGAGCAAATTGAGCACTGTTAGCTCCGTGCTGGCCAACTCAGTGTGAGCAGGTGGCTGAGGAGCAGGCAACCCCCACTGCCTGCCCAAGCATGATCCTGAGAAGAGCGGAGAAAGAACGTTAGGAAGGCTTTAGAGAAACCAAGGAAAATGTAGTGTGATGAAAGAAACATTACAGGAGGATTAGAGAGAAGAAGCCAAGAAAAGTTAAGTGTGGAGAGATCTCTCAAACAGATGTTACCATGGACAACTAGCTGCAATTGGCCATGAAACATCATATTACATGCTGTTCTCTCTGATATGATGTACATCTTGATACTATTTTGCAGTGGAACAGAACCTCTTTCAACATTTGTTTTTCCTCAACCCTTCAGGCAGAGCCAGTAAGATGGGAATCAGAATCATTCAGCTCTGTAAATTCTGACTACAGGTGTTTTGGAGTAATAAAATGAACACAAGATGTTAGGCCTGTGGAAATTTAGCAAAAGTTTCACAAAGTTACACTTACCCTTCCCCAGGATATTGGGCATTGCTGAACTTTTAGGGGGTGGTGTGGGAGACAGGGACCCAAGCCTGGGCAGCGCTCCGTTCACCTGCTTTAGCCTCTCCATCTTCATGTGCTCCATCCAGCGCAGGGGCCGGCCGATGCTTCGCCTCGCCTGCAGGGTCAGCATGGCCGCGGTGGCCGTGGACACCGTGGAGTCCATAATGGGGGCTGGCTCGCCCTCACACTCCTCCTCCACCTCCTCTTCGTTTTCCTCTTCCTCCTCGTCTTCCTCCAGCCCCTCCCCTGGCGAGCGTCCAGCGCTCACAGCAAGCTGGACTCCACTGCTGGGATAGGCGCTGATGGGGGACTGGTCACTGCTGCATGTAGACTGACCGCCAGGGCTTGGCTGAGACGTCTGATGGACGCAGACAAATAGAAGGCAGCAAGGTAATTAAAAGTTTTAATGAAAATCATGCAAATAAACATATACCATGGCATGACAAGGACGCAATGTAGTGCAAAAGATGGAATTCCTGTAATATTGTGAAAGTTTGCACTACTGGGCATTGAATGAGATGCACCAATATACATTTTGTTGATTTTTTTCTGCCCTAATATGTTAATAACATATTAACATAATAATGTTGACATTATTACGTTAACAACATGTTATGTTTTTAACATTACGTTAACAACATAACATTATGTTATTAAACAAATCATTATATGCTTAATAATATTAAGCATATGAAATAATAATTTCTGTAAAACAAGATTTTTATTAATTTAAGACAAAATTAAAATCTTTACTTTCCTATCTTATCAATTATATCAACAAATCCAACATGTTCAATGAAGAGCAGAAATTGAAAGCTTAAAAGAATAAAAGAGCACCTTCCTGTTATCTGATGAAAGTCTCACAATCTCACTCTTTTATACAATTGATAAAATTGCTTCTTTTAAAATAACTTTTCAAAACTTATTAAATTTTAAAGATGCTATTGACACTGAAAATAGCTGATATTTAGACTTCTTCACTGAGTTACAGCACCCACTGTGAAGCGTGTTGCAGCCAACGTTGACCAGGTAGCATGACGAGTTTACTGATCATATAAAAAGATTATTTGTTGAGCTGGTCATTAATGAAGGTCAATCAAGGTTGAAATTTTCTTGTTCATTTGATTACTTAAAGGTGCATCTCAAATTATGGATATTTCCAATTGCATGAGCAGAGCTCACAGGAAAGCATTGCAATAATAAAAATAACAGAAGTGCTAAAAAAAGAGAGGAACTAATATTTTTTGAATGGTTGTGGTGAATTGGAGATGGAGAACCGGATTGGGAACACATTCGGCATGCTTATGGTGAAAGTCAGGCTGGCAGACTTTCTTCCAAAGCAGCAGGATGAGATGAAGGGCGAACGAATGTAGTGTCAAACCCATCTCACCTGATTACCCACTGTCCTTAGAAAGGAATGGAGAGAAATGCCAAAGCATTTGGATAGAGGAAAAGATGTATTCATTAGAAGAGGTCAGTGTGAAAACCCTTTCTTCAAATACACTTAAAACTATAAATTAATCACTGTTTGAACGTTAGTAAACTAAAGACAAAGTGGATGCTTGAGCAAAAATTGAAGTCTTACCATTGGCTTCTCTGTCTTGATAGATTTCACCTGCAGACATTCATCTTGTTTTGAGGTAGCGTGGTTGTACTCCCTTTGGTCCGTGTATCCACCCAGGGGCAGCTGTCCGGGCGACCTGCCCTGGCTGTTGCCTCCAGGTTCCCGGGGCTGAGGTGGAGGGCGTGGATAATCGCCGCGCTGTTTCTTGGTGACATGCGCCTCTGGCCCGTGTACCGTCTTTACGTGCTTCCGTAAGGAGCTGGGGTCTGTGTAGCGCTTAGTGCAGCCTGGGATTTTGCACACGTACGGTTTCTGAAGGAGAACAAACATCAGAATTGAATGAGTATATTCGAACAGGCTTCCTTCAAATTTGATATGTCATAATTGCACACTCTACATACTATCAAAATAATTTTTACCATCATCATGACCTATGGATGATGGGTCCATAAGTCATGATGGACCTATCAACCATCATGATAGGTCATGATGAATGATAGATCCATCATCAAATCAGATGATGGACATATGTTAATACCTCATTTGAGTGTGTTCGGTTCTGATGCTTGGCCCGATCCGACGCATTGGAAAAAGCCTTGTTACAGCCTTCATGTTCGCACACATAAGGTTTCTCACCAGTATGGGAACGTAAGTGAGTTTTCAGGTTTTCCAGGCGAGAGTAGGCCTTAGTGCAGCCTTCAAACTGAAGATGGAAAAACGTTATCCCATACACTTTAGTTTTTTTTTATATTTAGCTATGAAATATGTAATAACATCCACAATATAATATCATCTGCAAATCGGGTTATATTGACGTTTGTGAGGATCCTTACTGTGCACTTGTGCGGTTTTTCCCCAGTATGTCTGCGCATGTGGACCACCAGCATGTACTGTGCCTTGAAGGGCTTCTGCTCTCGAGAGCATTCCTCCCATCGGCACACAAATTCCTTCTTTTCTCCATGGATGTGGTCATTGTTGATGTGCTAGAGGGACAAAAAGCAAATTTTGTTCATTTTGAAAAACAACTTTACTGCTCTTCTCCATTCAATTTTTCTGAAAGGTAATTTCCCTTTGAGGCTTTTATCCTTTTACTAATTTAATTTTCGAAAAGTGAAAAAAGATTTTTGACACTGTGCTTGACACTTGACATGAGTTTGGGTCCTCGTCACTTTGTGACAAGAGCTGACAGTTGTGCTGCGGTTGCGACTTCCAAACTGTGGCTTAAAAAGCACAAGAAATGGCAGAGGGGTGAAAAATCAGAAATTCAGTCAAAGCTTCTGAAATATGAAGCCTTTGTAAGTCCAGTCAAGCATTTCCATTTTCTCTGTTTTTCTTTTTTTCCACTAAACTACATTTTAAAAACAGGAAAGTGGTGAATGTTGAAAGAATAGAAGAGGTGAAGAGGGGAGGGGGAAAAAAGCTACAACCCTCTGGGGAAAAAAGTCAACATCTTTAAAAGACAACAGAGAGGTGGCCTCTGGAGTGCCTTTTCTCATGGCAATTTAAACCCGGAGAGACACAATATCCTCAAGGAAACCAGTGCTGTTATGACATTCCAAAGAAACAGAAAAAAAGGCTTTTTTTAACCTCTGGGCAGAATACAAGTAAACCGACTTTAAGTTGAAAAGCTTCAGAATGTTGTCTTTTGTTGAATAATTTTTAATAATAATCCATTGCAGGGACTAAATAAAAATAGGACAAGAAAACAAAGATTTAGCCCAGAAAAATGGTCAACAACATAACTTTATCACACACTCACTGTTTCTTCACAGGCCTTCTTGAACCTTCAACACAATCATGACCTTGACATCCAGCAGACACCCCACTGGTTTTCATTTTCCACTAAAGGCAATCGCTGACAAATGATTAAATTAATTCACTATAAAGCATGACTGTTGCCATCCAATTAATATCCTTAAATATTTTGTATTTTGTCATGTTGCAACCAGAAAATGTCATTAAATACATATTGATGGCCTATATGCTTCTGCTAATCTCTAATTTGTTTTTACCAATTATTTGCAATGGATGTTAGGATGAATTAATACTATTTCTATTCATTTTATCATCAGATAGCAACCGTAATTCTCGTGAGGCGTTTCTGTAATTTTAAGTGACAAGCCCAGAACTACAGGGGAGAATGGCTGGAAAATTTGATGATCAGAGACTGTAAATCAATCTCCTTCCCATGTTGGCCAGTGGTTAAAAAAAACTGACTCTTTCTCTCTTTTTCTCCGTCTTCAAGAGGGAATCCCAGCGGCAAGCGATCGGTCTGCTGTGACCTGTGTTCGATATCCTGCAGCTGAGAGCGATGGCAGAGTGCTGTAGAGTTGGATCATGCGCTGGCAGCTGGCACACTCACACATATTTACTGTTTGAACAAATGAAGGAGGTTGTTGACGGCCGTGATGCATTAGGCTCTGGGCTGACAGTCAGGGGGACAGGCAACACCGCAGGGGGAAGTGAAAGGGGGGGCAGGACTGCAGAGAAACCTAATGGCATGATCTAATGGCAATTCTTATTGAATCAATAATCTCCATGCTGAGCAGACAGGTCCCGTTGGTCGGCTAAATCGACAAACAGGTGCTGATAGCGGTGGCGCGGTGGGTTATTCATCTTCCCCCTGCCAGCTTATCGGCCAACAACTGTAAAAATGCCACCAAGATGGATTTAGGAGGGAGCTGCACGACAGGAAACGCATGGGACATGGACACCGGGGACACAGGCACTGGCTGTGACGTATGAACTGTGTACTTCCACACACGCACAGGTGCAGGCCCTGTTCTCTTGGTTCAGCCCCCTGTGGTTCACAGCTAACATACAGCACTACTTAGGCAACAGCACCAAAGATGGGAAAAAAGGCCTGGGTTGTATCAATAGCGGGTTGAACATGCTCAAAAAGTCAGGAAATTTTGAAGTGAAAGTAAGAAAAGTTGGAAAATGGCTCAACTACAACAACTCCTAAACAGTAGTTCCTTTGACTAACACCCTCAACATTCACCTTATTTTAATGCAGTGCTTCTCAATTATTTTCCGTTACGCCCCCCATATCAAGAAGAAAACTATTCGCGCCCCCCACTCTCCACCGTGACTATCCATGTCTACTGCAGGCAGTATCAGCTCCTCTGCTATGGTGTGGGGCTTTTTGCACTGCGCAATTTGGTATGCCACCTTATATGATGCTAGCAGCGCTCGATGGTTTACTGAAGTAGCCTTCACAAAGCGGGATGACTGTTGGCAATATTCAGCACGTTTTCGCTGAAAAAACTCTAGCGGCTTACCGCCGTGATTGGGATGTAACGTATTTAAGTGACGCGCTAATTTATTTGGCTTCATGCTGTCCGCTGCGAGCATTTTTAGACACAGCAAACACACCGGTCTTTCCTCTTCTCCAACTGTAGTCACAGTGAAGCCAAGCGCTAAATACGCCTCGTCGTATTTCCTCTTCTTCTTTCTGTTGTCTCATTATCTTTGTCTCTCTCCGCTTTTCTTTTCATCCCTGTTAAAAACTTTTTCATGTTGGGGGTTGTTGAATAATGGAGGCCATAGACAGAACGCAGTCGGAGCCTTTTGTTGACTTAACACTGCTAACCAAGGCAAACCTGTTGTCTTGTAAGTCGTAAAATGTTGCACTGTCGCAAACGTGACAGAAGTAACAATGAGAGCGCCACTGCCGCCTACTGTGCGCAATTACACTTTATACTAGTACAGCCAAAAAAAAAGCCTGTTCCCCAGGATCACACGCGCCCCCCCAGGTATCGCACCGCGACCCCCAAAGGGGGCGCGCCCCACTATTTGAGAAGCACTGTTTTAATGGAATGTTAAAATTACAAAATGTTCTACAGGCAAGTATCTACCAAAAAAAAACTCTAAAACAGGCATGCACTGAACAAGAAGTGTGCTGTTTTGTATAAAAAAATGCCACATTCAAACTCTTTTGCCATCTCTAGCTTTTCCCTTCAATAGAAATTCCTCCTATGTGTCGGCTTCAAACTTGATCATTATTCTTTTAAGGCATGGAGAACTGAAAGTTATCAAAAGCTTGATTTAGGGACGTGGTTGTGGCCAACCAGAAAATCGTTGACAAAAAGTCCTTTTTTACTTAATGATGTCCATCTTTGACCTTCTTAACTTCAACAAATTTAAACACTCCTTTGACAGAAGCTTGTAAAATTTAGTACTGCTATTCAACACTTATAACCTCAACAGGAAGTTGGTCATTTTGGATAAAAGGATTGTTTTTGTACAGTTTACATGGGTGAACTCAAACAACGGCAAACAGATTTACCCATTCATTAAATGTTTAATGGTTTGCAGAAATATAAATAAATAAAATATTGAAGCCTGGCCAAGTACACGGGCATGGCCAGACTTTAAAAACCAATCTCCAAGAACATTAAAAGTTTCTGTGCAGTCCCCAGCCAAACACTTACAGGATTGTGGTCTTTTCCAAACCTTTGTCGCCAAACAAAAAGTTGGCACAACTCAAAGAGAGATCGTTGAAGTCCAAAAAAATGCTTTTATGTATTATTCACAGACACTAAAATAATTCCAGGCTCAAAGCTTCTGACCACTAAAGTGCAAGGGTCATTCAATGCTGCTTGCAGATTTGACCATTTGAATTAGAGCTTTATGCTGTATTCCAACAGCTCATCGCTTGATATTGGAATACACTAAATCATATCATTTTCTTCTCTGCTACTTCCCACTATTTGTTCACTTCAGTATTCATTTCCATGTTTCCTTATCAAACCCTCTTTGGGACGCTGCCTTCATGCATTAGAATGCAAGCGTGCATGAAAAGAGGGTCTGTTTACAAGGCAATTTCACAAAGCGATGGGACCCGCAACACCGTTTAGCTTTATCAAACATTGCCTAATAAATCATATGCTCTTTTGTGATGTCAGTTGCTGAAATGCTTTATATAAAGAGAGGTGGGGAGAAAAAAAGCACAGAAAAGGAAAAGATGGAAGGCAATGAGAGGTAGAGAGAGAGATTAAATGAAAGTGGGAATTGAGAGTGGGTTAGGGAGAAAAGGAGGGAGGATGAGAGAAAGCGAATGAGAAGCAGGGGGCAGGGAGCTGAAATTGGCATGTGTAATTCAGCAGTCTTTTCATCTTGGAATAAGATACTCTAGACAGATAAGGGCCTAATCCTTCTCATGATCAAAAAAAGCAGCGTTTTACCAATTAAAGGCCTGTGCCAGCAGCCAGAGAGGGCTGAAGGGGGGGGTGCTTTCAGACTGTGCCGGCGTTTATCATTCTTTAACACTGGGGAAGCACACAACAGGAGTTTTAACAAGGCTGCACACATGGAGTAACAGCTTTCCATCTGAGAGCATTACAATGCCAAGTGTGTGTTTGACCTGGTGATAAAACCCATGAACCTCTATTACCTTCAGCAGCCCTAATAATGAACTTTGGAAATATTTTGTTTGCTTAAAAGTCCACTGAAACACCATATCTAAATCTTTCACCTACTGCTATTAGATAAATTGGGTTTGTTATTGGCATTTCTGCCAATAACTGGCTGAAAAATGTTCTTTTAGTGATGATTTTTAGAAGTGAACCTCAACATTTGAGCTTCCTTTCCGAAAATGAACTTGGAGCAGTAGAGAGATTTTTTTTTTTTTTTTGGAGAAAGAAAATTTTACATTTGCCTCTTGCTGTGATTGAAAGATTGGCCAGAAGGCTCATCTGCAGTCTGGATACTGAATCTACAGAGCGAAGACGGAGCCACCTGTCAGTGTTCTGGGACGGGGCTGGGGTCCACGGCAAAAACCCGTTGGTCGTTATTAGTAAACTAAGATCAATTTGTGCTTTAATGTCAGACTCTAGGAATCTCCAATAACACCAGTAAAAGTAATTAGACTTATTGCAAGTTGTTGCTTTTTTTTCAGAGTCACTGGAGGTCTGAGAAGTTGCTAAATACAGTGACAATGTCACTAAGTTATCCACACTGTGTCCTTGTAGACTTACCTGCTGTGAAAATGTTCGAAAAGATCAACAAAAAAATACTAATAAGGTTGTTGAGCAAGACTGTAATAATAGGAAATTATGCCAATAAGGGGTTGGCCTCTATGGCGACAAAAAGCTGAATAAAAGCCAACTTCAAGAGATACATTAAAGAAGCCACCAGGCCTTATCTTTAAAAGTATTCCCTCTGAGGGGAAAAAGAGGAGGGGAGAAAGCAAAATAGAAAATGAGAGAGAGGGGGAAGCGTCCCCAAAAAGACGGGGGAGGGCAAGAGAATGTTGAGCTTAAACCACGATGGAGAGGTAGAACGAGTAGAAATAAAATAAATCTCACAAACTACAAAACTGACACCCGCCTCGCTTTTGCTGACTGGGTAGGCCTGATAAAGTGGGCCAAATTGCATAGATTTGATGTTTATCTTATCGGTGGCACCGTGAATGCTTATACGCATCTGATACAGGGAACGCCGGTGAAAAGAATGTTTGAGGAGTGTAGAAATATGCATCAAGAGCACTACAGGAACCGCTTTTGTACAAGGGGGAGAGCAATGAGGGTGGCGTGAAAGCTTAATTAAAAAATTAGGCCAACAACAAAGAAAAAGCAAAATTTCACTGTGGATTTCTTACATGTAACACTTCAGAAAGTGAATACGTCTTTACAGACTTGTCAAGCACTTCTGAAAATGAAACTTAAACATTAAAACTGTTTCAGCTAAGGGGAAACTGATGATTTTTTTTTCTTTCCTCCCTGAAGCTGTTTCAGAAGACAAGTACGGGGGAAGGGACGCGCCATTGTTTGGGTATATGGAAATTCCCTCCACCACCACCACTGCTGCCATCCCAAACCCCTCCCAGAGAGTGAAGAGAGCCACTGTGGTCCAAATACTGTACTTATCCTATTACTGAGGGGGTGGGGGTGTGGAGAGATAAGAGCATTTTCCCGTCCGCTCTGCTGAATTAGAGGGGCAGGGAGTCTGTAGGCGAGGACTGTTATTGGCATCTCTCCGCATATCTCCATGTGCATTAAAAATGAGAAATAAAATGTCATATCAGAAAGTTTGATGCCAGAAAAAAAACATTCCAAGACAGAACATGGAAATTAATCAGAGAGGACATATTGTTTCCTTACGATGGCAACCTAGCTGTGAGAACAGCAGGGGGAGAAGGTGAGCAATATTCGCCTCCATTCCTTTCCCAACTGCTTTTACCCATCCCACCTCCTGAAACAGGGGCAAGAAGTTGTCAAGATCCTCAACCTTTTGAGCTGAGCCCTTCAAACACGGGAGGCAAGCCCATTTTGTGCTGAGGATATCAATTATAGATAGGGGTTACCACCGCAGCTGAGGATTGCGATGTCAAGACGGCAAGTAGACAGCTGTGGAGAGCTTAGGATCTTTCTATCAGATGTGTCCTGATGTGTTTCTCAGCTGCACCTGTGTGTGAGCACTTCCCCATCGCTTGTATGGGTGTAATTTCATCGCTTGTCCAACTCCAGTTTGGTTTCCCGCTCAGATGAAGGGTAAGTGATTCAGATGCTGCTAAGCCAAGCTAAAAGCACCTCTGGCCACAGTAGGGGTGACACGATGATTACGCTAATGGCATTTTTTTTTTTTTAGCTTTCCACAGAGCCACAGGCGAAGTATGATCAGGGAACTTCCATCTCCAGGCGTCTGTGAGAATTACGATAACAGACAGGGAGTTGGTTCGGTCTGGTAGAGTACACAGAATTCTGTGAGACTTAACCTGCCAAATAAGTTCACACCATCCAGCTGTGAGATGGGACTCCAGCTTCTGAGCCCATTATCACTACCACTACATGGAACCAATCAGGAATTCAGCATTACTAACATTCACCGCTCAAGGCCCTCACTCTACTGTGGCCTGCCAGACACAGAAGCAGAGGTCTGGGGAAATAGGTTGAGAAAAAAAAACACAGTTTGTCTGTTTTTTGAGCACCTCTGTAGGGTTGTACACCTGTTGTGTCTTACTGGTCTTGTAAAGAAAGCCAATCTTATGGAGAGGCATTGTTCCTTTGCTCTTGTAATGCTCCTAATCTCCTAGCTATACTTCCAAACAAGCTATACTTTTAAAAAAAATGTTTTTCTAATTATAATGAATGTTTAAAATTCCCCCCTCTAACTGAGACCTCTAGTCTGAGATGGAGTACTTGTGTTTTTGGTAATTTCACTTACTATATTGTTTGATCTTGGGGTTAGTTTGCTGGTAGGTATATACCGAGAAAATGGGAAGCTGTGTTAAATATGCGTTTACTTATGGAAGACTACAAAGGAAGAAAGACTTTGTATTGTGAGGTCTGCTGGATACTTACTTGTACCAGCTGTTCCTGGGTGTCAAACTCACGGCAGCAGTTCTCCCAGTGGCAGTTTGTCTCGTAAACCACCTCCGGTTCCTGTTTGCTCTCGTCTTTGTTGCCTTCCTCCTTCACCAGAGTCATCCCATCAGGATGGTCCTGAGTAACCAGTGAGAACCGATACATTGAGACTGATGTGACACTAGTGGTGTTTAATAACATATGCTTCAGCTCACAAACATATAATCATAAATTAGATTTTTCACAGGCACAGCAGAGAGTTGTTGCCTACATGTCTGAACCTTGTGTTTCTGGCCTTGCTCAACTCTATGAGAGGTAAATATGGCAGATGAAGCCACTCAACTTTTGGAAGATTTTATCCTCAACAAGCATAGACTCTAAGCTACTGCAGAAGAGGCTTCCACTGCAAACCCCAGTTTATTTCCCCCACCAATGCAAATGTCTGCCATTTGCTTACATTTTACTTTCACTTTTTCAAAGCCCCTTAAATTTTTTTGATTTAGCGAGAGCAAAATCAATTTTCCCTTTTGTCCTACAAAAGCTAAGTGATTGTGTCGCATTGGAAACTAAGTGATAAGAGCAGAAAACACCAACAAAACAGCCACATGCAAAAGAATAAAGATTGAGTGCTGTTGTAGCCACTTTGCAAAGACCCAGCACTGCGTATAATTGTCGCTCTCATTATGATTGTCATCTTTCATATTTGAACTGAACAAACAATTCAAATATTAGCTTATATGAAATGTCCTTTTCGTAGAGTAGAATGATTATATAACAGTAAACTGCAATGGCTTTTGAAAATAACAATTTAGTGCATTCCTTTGAGTTTGTAAGAGATCATCTTTTGAGTGTTGATGAAGGTTCAGGAATGCCTTAACTTGACAAGGCCAAGTCCCATAAAAATCTTACTATTGATCATGAGTGTCTGCAGCTGGTGATTTCTGCTTGACTCCTACTCGGAACAATGGGAAACTCCCAGGAATTCAGATTTAAGATAAAGAAGTGGAGATTTACACAAGTTGAGAGAAAAGACAGCAGTGTAAAATCAGTCTGAACAATTACATATGAGTGCAAGTTATTGCCAGATGTGCAAAAATTTTGCAAAGGCCTTCAAGATGACCTATAGAACATGGATCGGTCCTGAAAACACTGGCTATATTTTGCCAACTCACTGTATAGTAAATGTAGTTCTTTAACAACCTTCTGTAACTCTGCAGAAAATAAATATATTGGATGTTATTCTGGACACTTTAATTTATTTGGACAAAAAGATAAGATGCACTTTGAACAACCCTGGATTTAAAGAAATGCTGAGCTTGTAGCTCTGGACAAATGACTCAACAATAGAGTCAGTAACTGATGGTAAATTGAATTTATTTATAAAGCGTCAAGTCATAAGAAGGCACTTTGAAGAACAAAAAGGTCCAATTCATTTCTTTTTTTTTTTTTAGATTTGGCCCAAATTCAATTTAAGGCGACCTAATTGAGGAGACAAAACCCACCTGCACACTCACCGCTCCGGGACTCGGCAACTCATCCTCCGGTTTCATTTTGGACCGCTTGTGATGCATGGGGTCGCCGGTGCTGCTCACAGCTGATTCGCTAGTCGGTTTGGCCTTCGGTAAAGACAAAACGCAAAAATGTTTCTAACTTTATCATTTCCCCCTCTAATTGCATCGTGTTCAGTATCCCAATAGTTTTACCCTTCATAGGAACATTAAAAATGCATGTAATGCTTATAAGCAAATCCAATTATTTACTTAATCAACAAGACAAAACTGGTGGGGTTGACTCATAATGATTTCTGCAACTGAAGCTTTAAACTGAGCCAGCGAAGAACTATGCAATTCAGTGTATCACATTAGCGTCCCTAATCAGTGCAATTAAAGCAATCTTATGAACTAATTCCACCAATAAATGACCTGACTTTGGCCCTGGCCTAAATATGCCCTCGGGAGGATTTCTGTAACACAATAAGCTATTTGAGAGAAAAAAAATTTACAGAACTTTCAAACATCTGGAAAATGAGAAGGTGTTATTCCAGAGAATAGCTAAACAACTGCTTCACCTCTGTTTAAGGACACATTTCTGAGTTGTGTTAAGGTATTTATTTTAGGGTCAGGAAAGGAGCGTCTGCTTCTTCAGGCTTGACTGAGATCTTCCAATACCCACCATTCTTTTGGAGATAGGCTTCATGGTTACATGAAATAAAAATAAGTTTGGTGGAGTCAAGTAGATGGTTTTAAATGTAGGAAGACTGGACACTCAAGCATGGTAGCAGTAGCTTCTTGCAGAGGGAGTCTTTTGAAGATAAAACCAAACATTTCAACATCTACCAAGTGAGATCAGTGGCTTTGTTCCTGAGAACTCTGAGCTTTTTGGTGATTAGTGTTTCCAACTTGTGTCGCATTTGAGCTGAGCTACATATTCATTTCTGAGGCAAGAACGAAGCACCTATTCTAACATCCACAACTTCGTGCTCAACTGAAATGAATCTTTTTAAAGGTTTGTGTGACACTCTTCATTCAGGAAGAAGGGGAAGACATGCTGCAAATGGAACTGGAGCCGGGAGCTGAAGTTAAGATTTAGAATTAAAAAGAGAAAAAATATTTAGCTATTTGTCCACAGTGACAAGATGCATGTTTTGGAATCAGGATGCTGATTTCCATTCTAGAAATACTGTTAGGCACGGTGGGAGTAGCATCATGCTAAGGGTCTGTTTTACTGTTTTGAAGCTGACCACATGGAAATGTTAGAAAGCTGTTACTAACTCATGAAACAAGCAATGACAAAACAACATTTATTCAGTTTTGTCCAATTTCTGAAAATCATGGGATTCAAGAGAAAGGAAAGGATGGGTAATAAACAGAATATTTACTTGAAATGTGGGGCCGCACATAACGTAAGGCTTGAGAAAAAAAACTGGGGGAAACCCCTTTGGATCCATCCATCCATGTCAATATTCCCCCCTCTCCACATCCTTGTTCTCTGTCTAGTGATTAATGGATTCAGCAAAGGGATTCTATGCTAACAAGCCCCTGGTTGTTTGGTGTAGGCACGCTCTCATGTGCGCGACAGGCTGAAAACAAGAAACAACATGAGTAGGAGGAAGAAAAGTCCCAGGAGAGGAGAGCGTTGAGGGGCCGGGGGTTCTGCCTGTACCTGTGCTTGCTTGGCTGATCCCATTCACAAGTGGCTGGCATGCGACGCCGCTATCCATTAACGCGTGATGATGAATCGCAGAGGCCGCTGTGCTCACCTGTGACGAGTCGTTGGAGATGGCTGAGCGATCGCCGGCGCCAAGACCAGTTGGGGGGATGCCAGGCACGGGACGCTGGCTGGCAAAGGCCGGCGTAGGGTGGACTAACGGCGGGCTGTGGCCGAAGGCTGAGCCCACGATCCCAGGCTGGCGGCCCATCAGCTGATGGTGGACGTGTAACGCCACGGGAGTTGGAGGGTAGGGGAAGCTCAAAGCTGGGCTGGAGAGATGACAGAGTAAAACATCTCTAAACAATACTTCAGACATTAATTACAGAAGCAATGAGCCAAAGAAGGGAAAGTTCAAGTGAGTAAATGGATTGTTCTGGATAACTCCTCACCCCGAGGGCAATCTGACATGAGATGGTGTGGTAATACCGGAACCAAGGGGGCTGCTGGGAAATAAAGCTTGTTAACACAGTGAATTATCAAGTGGTTTGTGTAAGACAGTGTGTCATTCCTCCACTGGGCAAAATAATATAGATAATAAATAACAATTAATCTATCTTGGAGCCATGTAAATAAAGTCACAACATTTTCTTTCCTTCTCTGGAAATTGTTCATAGTAGGATGGTATGTTAAATGTCACACTTATTGTTATTTACAAAAGACATGTACTATTTTCCTTTCATTTCACACTTTCATTTCTGATTAAATGCATTGAAGTTTTGGTTGCAATGTGACAACAACGTGGAGCAATTCAAAGGGCATCAGTAATTATGCAGGGCGCTGTGTTAATCTGCAAACTGAGCTAACTTTGTTGATCATAAAAATCCCAGAAGCCTCCTCTGTGTAACAATCGTTAAACCTCCGGATAAACATGGATCTGTGTGGCTCGGCTTCATTCATTCTGCACACTGACAATTGGCTCTACCCGCGACCCATATGTCTGCTGATCTTATTATGAGGCGAGTGGAAATCAATGGACCGAGACACATTTGGAGGCCCATCGGCTTGTCATATCACTCATCAGTCTGTTGGCTCTGGCTATTTGGATCCTGTCACTCGGACAGTGGCTGAGTGTGGAGCATGATTGATCAGCTCCCTTTTACAGATCGCTGATCAATGGCTGAGGGTGGGGCAATGGATCTTTCCCATTTTTGCTCTCTTCTCCGCTCTTTTCTTCTGCTTTGCTTTGCCTCTCCACCAGTACCGGTGCATGATGTATGTGATGTTTCCCTGAGGTGTGCTGGATGACTGACACAAGCCGCCTGGGAAGCCGGCCGACTGGCTGGCTGGGAGATCGTCACCCACACGGGCGTTTGACACGATAGCACACACATACACTCATTTGTGCCAAACTCTTTATTTATATATTATGATGCCATTCTAAAGGGAAAACATGCCACATTTCTCTGTAAGCTGTGTGCAGCGTATGAGTCACACAGAGTCTTTGGTCCTACCTAAAACAAAATGTCTGTTTTTGCAAAACAGACAATTTTCCTGCTGCAATTATCAACATACCAGCACACATTTTGTCTTTTGTGAATTTGGTAAGAAGCCAAAGTCACATATAGAGCTGAAACCACATATTTATAAATACTGTCTAGAAAGACACAAAAGCACTTACTTTCTTCAATTTTTCTGCTTCGGGGCAAAGGGAGCGAGTTATGACTACCAAAATTATTCACTGGTAAATGTCACAAAAATTAGAGATGTATACATATTTGTACATTTTCTTCAAGAGTAGAAGTTTTAAACATTTTCAGGGTCCCTCCACAATAGTTTGCTGGACTTGAGGCTCATTCCTCCAGACTGAAGTGGTATATCTGAGTCAGGTTTATAGGCCGCCTCACAAGCTCACATTTCCAGATGGATCCACTTTCTTTTTTTTTTTGACAAGAATTTAAATGTTGTCATCCAAACTCTATATATAGCACATTAAGCCACAACATTATTTTCTACCCACTAATTTTCTAAGGGACTGGGATTAAACTGTTGTGATGGCCACTCAAAAACTTCTGACAGTAAAGAAAGCAATTTCTCCTTTTTCTTCTTTTGCTATATATAAGTGATACAGGAAATCTTCAGCCTGATTTGGCTTTCAGAGTGAAAAAATATATTTGTGTTTTTGCCAAGATTAAATCTTTCGCAAACTCCAATAAAATCAATCAATAAAATTTGCTGTTTATAATGACAATTTGTTAATGTTTAGAAAGTTTAATGGAAGGTAATAGCGAACCTAAAATTTGTAGGGGGAGATTTCAACAGACATCAGATTTAACCAGGAATATCTAAAATTTAAAAATGAATCAAGCCAACCGTAATCTAACATGGCCATCGCCGTCCGACTGTTTTCCAGCTCTGACAACCAAACTTTGTGTGATTTTATTTCCTTTTTCTAGTGTGCTACCTGATTGCTCTGGCGGAGAGATGTCCGTAGGAGCCGCTGGTGGAGGAGCTGGAGCGTGAGCTGTTCATCAGTGTGGTAACTATGGCGTTCGGGGAGTTACGAATCATGGTCTGCAAATCGAGGCTGTGCTCAGAGAGCGGAGAGATGGTCAAGGGGCGCTTCCTGTTGGGCCGTGCCGGAAGCCTTGGGCTTGAGAAGCGCGAATCTGGAGTATGAGGATGGAGAAAGAAATTACTGCATTGTTTAAAGCAGGGATAGTGGCAGCATGTAGTGTTTGTTTGGTCATGTGATAGTGATGCAGCAGAGGATTGTGGGATGTTTAACTGAAGGTTGGAAGCAATGTCAGCGTTGAGGTCATGGTTTCAGTGACAAAATGGTCAGGAAATACGTATAGTTTATACAATACTGGTAAATATTGTTTATTGGCATCAACAGCAAATTTTTATATTGGTGCTATATTTAAAGTTTACCTGCTTTTCCAACTACTATTAGATGCTTCAGTACAAGGGAGTCAGCTAAAAAACAACCAAAAAAAGCATTTGATGGTTCATACATGCATTTCTGTTTAAACTCTAACCTAATCAAACCCTAACAGATGACATTTTTGTCAATCATCAGACAAAAGGCCCATCTCAATGAGTGTTCAGCTGTCACTTGATGCACTGCTTGCATTTCATCCAGGAGAAAACATGTCTTTTATGTTGGAGAATTGCTCCGACTGTGTATGGTAATATTTAATCAAGTCCAATTTGACTCGTTATTCAAATGCAATCAGTGTTGACTGGAAATACCAAAGAGGGGTTTGAAAAGGTAAAAGGCGGAAACGGCGCAACCATTCTCTCCGCGCGCACAATGAGCCACGGGTAGAGATTAAAACATGACTTTTGTTGTCTTTTCACACGGAGATGTCACAAACAAGACAGAGAGGGAGAGAGAAAAAAACAGGGGAGACGGAAGGAGGGGACAAAAAAGCAGCGCTGAGGGGATGTCGCGCTTTGTGCATGAACTGACACAATGACTTTGTGACTCAAGACTTGGAAATAAAACATTTCGAGTAATTTCATAAAGGCAAACAAAACCGATAACCCCCCTCCTGCATATTTACGTCCGCCTCAATCCATCCATCTCCCTAAAACGTAAATGCTCTATCTCTGGTTTGACACATTCAGCGATTACAGAGCGCTTCCTTTCACATGGTAATCAAAGAGTGTGTTGTTGTGTATGTGCGTGTGTGTGTGTGTGTGGTGGTAGCATTCTGGCATCCACAGGCCTGAGCCGCAACTGAAGCATGGGGGCATTATGGAGAGCAACACCCTCCACTCTCTTTACATTTTCTATTGTAAGGCGGATCTTGTAAGGAGGAGTGTGAGAACACAATATAGAACACATGGGATTCTTTGACAGTGTTTTTTTTCTTCTTCTTTTGTTGCTCATTCACCTGCTGAAGCTATACATTCATCTAACCTCCTGCAAAACGTCTGCTTTTATACCTCTGATTCGGACAAATCTGACACCTAAAACAAGCCGCATCCACTTGTGGAAAAACAGAGGATGGTGGAGGTGGAGAGAGAGCGACAGAGAGCCTAGCATGGGAGACAGGGGTCTGTGTGCCATCACTGCAAAGCCTCATGGGACCGGTGTTTATTAATGCACAGCCCAAATGATAAATCGGCAAACCGGGGAGACAGAGAGGGAAGCGTCCTGGCTCGTAGCAGCACTGTCCCTCTAATTTCCTCTTGATTTATGGATGGGACGGCTGGTTACTCGCCGCGTCATTAATTTCGAGGGGGCCAGGGAGGTTTTCGGATGGGCCAGACTGACGGTGGTGGAAAGAAAAGTTGGTTCCAAAACTGGGGTTGAACCCTCAGCGACCCACCTGGGAAGGGGGGGCGACTATAATAAATACATTGTCCTTTATGGAGTGTAAAAGTAGATCCTGGAGATGGAAGCACAATACAATAACTATTGTTCTTACAATCATCAAAGTTATAATCCTGTGACAAGCAGAGTGTTCAGAGAAAAAAACTTGTACAGAAAAGGACATTTCTGTCAATTCAGCTTATTTAGGATATAGAAAAGGACTTATGCCCTGAAAGACAAGGAAAAAAAATATTTTCTTCCAAATCTAAGCAAAAGTTTTTTCTTGTTCTCATCTTTAAAAGTTGAGGCATTGTCAAAATGTGCATTAAAATAAAAAGTTTGTTTTTATTCCTTCATATATTCCAGGCAACCTTTACATAAGTCAAGCCATAAATTTATTTTTCAAGTGATCTGAAAAGGCCTTCATCAGCTTGAAAAGGTCCATATAGTCATTTATGTAATATTTTATTTATTTTTTGACCATGTTCATTTTTTCTCTCACTACACTTTTTTTAAGTCTGACTATTTTAATATTCTTTGGTTGCTTTTTTTGTGAAGTCTTTTCTAAGTCTTAAATAAAGTTTCTTTTCTCATGACCTGAAAAAATTATGAACTCATTTCAAAAAGATTTCATAAAAGAAAAAACTAAATCTTCCAAACTTTCTTGATTTATTTATTTTTTTTTTATTCATGGAAATGATTTTTCTCTTAATGGCAGCTGATTTATTTTTCTCCAAATTTTCAAAATGTTTATCTTTAAATATTTTTTGTAGATTATCTGCACATTTCAAAAAGTGCCTATAACTAAAATAAAATAAAAAACCCATAATATTTATAGACAATTTTCTTCTGTTTTTGTCCTGAAATGCATATTAGTTTTTCCCCTTTATCTGCTTTTGTTTGTTTTTTTTCTTTGTGTGCATGTGTTTTATTTTATTTTTTAATATGTAGCTAAGCTCTTTTGAGTTTCCTTGTAATTTTTTCCCCCTCTTTTGCTCTTTGTTTAGAATGTTTTCTCATTTTTGATTTTATTTGCTTTAATAAATCAGTATTGAAGACAAAAATAGTGATTAATTACTCTAATAATCTATTTATTTATAATTAATTTATTTATTGTAGAAAAAAATTTAGGTCAAGTTTAAAATATTCCCTTGGATTTACTTTTTTTTAGGGCTTCCATATAAATGTCCTTTTTAAATTCTTTCACGTTAATATAAGTATACACCGCTAAACTGTAAACCGAGCTGTTTATACTTCCTAAAAGTACAAAAACAGTACTTTAATGGAGATTAGGTGTACACATTTGAACAATTATAGCTGTTTTGCCAGACTAAATAAAGCCACACCAGTGTTTAAACCTTAACATAAACCTGTTTATGCAAACGGTTTCCTATTAGCTGAAAAACACCACAGAGATTAGTTAATAGAAGCCACAAATAAACATGGTAGTGTAGTGTATACTTCAGTCAGAGTGATCTATGAGAGCTATGGTGCTAATTAGGCAGTGCTAACGCAGACAATAGACCATTAAAGCACAACTAGGCAGGACAAGCCCATTGTTTCATTAGCAGAACTCTCTCTGAAGGTAATTACACTCATTTGGAATGGACTAAAATAGCTTCATGGTTGCCCAGATTATCACTGAAAGCCTCTTGATAGACTTCGCTCTTTCCTAAAATCCGCCAAAGCTTTAAAGTGTTAATTTTTTTTCCCTACACAGGAACACACATTGCCTGAATGTGATGAGTTATTACCAGCAATGATCACAGGCGATTCTTTTTTTTTTTTTTTTTAAAGAGAGGAGCACAGCATCTCCACTTGAATTTGGCCCTAATTGTTTTGTTTCAGTCTATTAATCTTAAAAAGTGACACAGAAGAAAGGATTTCTCTCCCGTGATGAATGGTGGGACATTCCAATTCCCACTTAATAGCAATTAATTTTCTGATACCCGCACAAGTTTGGCTAGTTTTAATTAGTTTGTTCGGAGGAACAGTGGGGGGAAGTTCACCCCCGGATTTCCATGAAAGCGGTGTGTGTCTAACTAAATACGTTCCCATCAAAGGGAGCGGGGTGAGGCTGTCTGACCTCCCTAAGATTCGATGTGCCTTTAATTTCCTATTTACACTTTAAAATAACTCATTAGCATAAGTCCTTTGCGTACAGTCCTGATCCAGACACGTTAAGACAATGGCTCATTTGAATTATGTCAAAGTAAAGTTGCAGAAGTTGAGGTGTAGCTGGAGGTATATAGATATATATAGAATAGAAGATGGGAGCACTGTGGTGGTGCACTTTTAAGGGTTGAATTCCCACAGGGGCCACCCACAGTTTGCTGAGAACGTAAGCGCTCATAAGACGGAAAGGTGCAATCCCAGCAGGGACGGATGTGGTTAGTGTCTTTCATCACACACGGATGCTCAAAATACTTTATTAAATGCTCAATAAAGTATCATTTATAATTAAAGCACATTTCTGTTTTACCTAAATAGGCATAATGATGTGGAAAACTCCAAACCCAGGAATCCAAGGCAACAGTGCAACCAACTGAACTGTTTCTACATTTAATAATTATACTACATTTATTTTATAGGTGAAAAAAAACAACAACAAAAAAAAACACTTAAAGAAATACTTTTTTTTTTCACAAAATCACTGATGGAACACGTAGCATGACTACCAATCCCTATTCCAATTTAATGTGTCTGAAGTATTTTTTGATAATTTTTACATTACAGCTTTAAGGTAGTTAAAGTTTCAGTTTAATTTCTCAAAGCCACTCTTCAAAAATGGAAAGAGAAGAGACGTTGTGGATCTGTTGATCTCATGAAAATAGCATTAGTTCTGATTTGTTCTTGCTGCACTAGGAGCCTCATAATAATAATAATAATAACAATAATAATAATAATAATAATAAATCATAATAATAATAATTAAATAATAATAATAATAATAGTAACAATAATATTAAAATTGTAGGCTTTCCAAAAAATCTTCATGAGGTCTTTTAAAAGTCTATTTCTGCAAAACGTAAGGACAAATAAACAACGAAATGCTCAGAGATCCTTTCTTCTGTTTGCTCAAATATTGCAAGTTGTTGTAGGAGAGGAATAAGTGGAAACTGTTTGGTTATACAAAGTAAAACAGCAAAGATGCCTGTAAGTGTTCAATATATTTCATAATAAAACTCTGCTGCTGCATTACCAGAGAAACTAAAGACTGAGGCTGATGTAAGTTTTCTGTTTTGTTTTAAATGTTTTCCTCAATCTCAGGAAGACTAAACAGTATAGTGCAGTGTGCTGTATTTCATCTGCAAATCAGGATAAATAAAAAATACTCTTTTTTGTCTTTAGGGAATAAAATTAACCTTATTTTTATATGCTTCATTCAAATTAAAAAAAGAAATGGTTCATAAACATTTCAGATAAACGGTATGCACACAAATAAATTTCAACACTTTTAAATATTATTCATTTCAACAAGTTTGATTTTCTTTCATTCTTTTTAGGCAGATTTGAGTAGGAGGTTCCCAGCACTGGTTTTATACCTGAATGGTTCATATTTCAGAAGTAAATGGCCAAAGCCTAAAAACAAAACTTCTAGAGCTAGAAGAAAATGTCTTATCCATATTAAATAAGTTTTGAAAAAACTTTATATCAACAACAGGATCGCCTTCTCAAAGGAATCTGTTCAAAATGCAGAATCTGAGACTCACTCTCCATCGCCTGCAGGTACTCCATGTGCAGGGCGGTGGCGCTGCTCGCGCTGCCGGTGGACGCCACAGACGGGAGAAGGTCTGTGGCGTACGGGCTGCGGTGGCCCGCCAGCAGAGCCATCTGGTGGTAGTAATCAGCTGTGGTCAGACCGGCGTGAGGCGCTGCAGTGGGACAAAAAGGAAGTTTATGTCAGCAAAAGAGGAAAAACTGAACATTTAGAAGGAAGCTGGCGAGAGAGCAGGAAACAGCGGCTTTAATTTATTAGGCTGTGAGGGAAAGCCGACAGCAAGAACACCTGCGCTGCAATAGAAAACTTGCACTCATTTACTTTAGATGATAATCAGCTCAGCAGAACAGTAATGAGCGCATTAGCAAACCCCATCATGTTAACCAAAACAGCTGCACAGGGAGCGTCACCTGAAGACTGGAGTCCCACTGGGGATTCCTGCTGGCTCCCAGATCACAGCGAGTGTGTTAGCGTGGAGCAGCATAACTGATCATGTAGCAATACGGCCCATAAATAGCTGTTTGTTTTTGGTGCTCTCTAATCACCTCTTACAATGTTGTACACAAGGGTTGAAGACTTGAGCTTTTTCACATTTCATTTCACAATACTTCAAGGTATTGTATTGGTATTTTATGTGACATACCAATACAGTTTAATAGTGTGACTTTGTATTCAGCCCTGTGACTCATAGCATGACCTTTGGCTGCACTTACAGCTGCAAGTCTTTTGAGGTCTGTCTTTACCGGCTTTGCAGATCTATACACAGAGTCCATTGTCTTTTAAAGAATGGAGAGGATATGTTTTAGCTTTTTACTTTGACTGGGCCCGTTTAACATGAATAAACTTTAATCAAGCCATTTTATTCTGAGTCTGTGATGATGTTTATGACCCAGTGTCAAATCGATTTCTTCCAGAAACACCCTGTGTGCAGCTCCACATATCGTCCCTGTCCCTGCTGAAGGAAGGTGTTTCCACACAATGATGCTGTAAAAAGAAAAAAAAAAAAAAAAGGAGGCAGAGTTTTAAAAGTGCGCATCGAACCACTGACATGAATGTCTGGACAACTCTGCTCTGACCTGAGTTGTGGATAATGCTCCCTGTTCTGGCTTGTCAGTTTAGGAGAAATCTTTCCATTTCCAGATAATGTATTAAACAGAACTCCTTAAGATGTGCAAAGTTTCCAGTATTGTTTTATAACCTGTTTTAAACTTCACCTCAGCAGACAGCTCTCTGACCTGTCTGCCATGTTCCTTGATGCTGGTTGTTCACTAATATTTTCTAACAAACCTCAGAGGTACTTGATCTACAATTTAGGCGGATTTTGAGGGCAATTATTTGCATTTTATTTAGAGGTGTCAGGGTAAAAGAGGGGCTGAATAGAAACATGGATTTTCATTTCTAATAAAAAACCTCCATCTATTTTCTGTTCTCTTCCACAATAATGAGGTAGATTGACATTCTTTGCATCTTTTACTGAAAGTTAATTTGATGCATATGGCCATAAAATTTATTTTGAAATCATTGAGAAAAGGGCAGGTTATACAACATGCTTGATCTTCATACTCTTTTTCCACTTATGTACAGTAAGTAACGTAAGACTACGTGTTACATTCGCTAAATCAAGTGAATAAACTGACTGATTGGCTGAGCTGTGTGGCTCCAAACCCAATAAAATCCACTGCAGTTGGGAAGAGTGTGAATACTTCTCTGTGTGTGTGGTGAGAGAACGTGGGCCAGTGCATGTTTTGGCAAACATGCTTCCTGTGTGGCGCGCACATCAGCGCTGCCGTCTGCAGATACGCAACCTGCTCCTCAACTCTGCTCCGTCGCAAAACAAAAGGTTCCTAAATCTTCTCAGATGGATCTGAGTGCACAAAAAGACACAGAAACCATCCTGCCTCTACTTCGTTTCTTCTCTCTGAGTGCTCTTTCTTTCCAAGTCACTCCCTCAGTTGGAGTCCTTGAACAGGAGCCTAAAAATAAACATCTGGCAGAGGGCTTCTGTATGCAAATATTGTAAGAAAGAGGGAGAGGAGAGAAAGACTAACAGTGTGGTTTTGGATTAAGATATGGAATCGGTTCAGAACGCTGAAGCTCCTTTCCCCCCCAATTTGAGAAATCAAGAGGAAAATAAATAAAGAAACAGTGTGTGAGGAGATTTCTTCTTAAGTCTGGCCCGCATGCCTGCAGTATGCCTCCACGATTGGCTGAATGAAAGGAAGGAGGAAGAAAAAAAAATTGTAAATTAATTCGATCTGGCTTTTATGTCTCCAGCAGAAGGGGGAGTTTCTTAATTGTCACCAGTGTTCCGCCTCGGCTTTGCTTTCGCATTCAGCCGTAATGTGCCCCATTCAGGATCGGTGCGCGGAAAAGAGCTTTGTGGAATTTTCTAAATCAGAAATGTTGGCATCCGAGTGCCATCCTGGGGGCAAAAGGAGTAGGGGGTGGAGGGGATGTGGGGAAGGCAGAGACTCGCCTCAGGATTCGGCGAGCTGAGCCACCGGGCGCTCCTTCGGCACAACAATAGGATCAGGGGCAAGCCTACTTCTGAACCGTTTGTCGTGGAGAATATATAACGTAAAAACGTGTGAAAGCAAATGTGTGGCAGAAGGAGGGTGGCACTAAATCCCACCCACTTTTAAATCTCCATTAGATTCTGTTAATTAATTCATCATTATTCAAATGTACTTTTTGCTGGGGGAAGGAAAAAAAATCTTTGCATATTGAAGAGGGAGGCTCCCTGTAAGCGCAGTGATATACTAACAACACAAAAGCTGATGGGTTAATTAATCACCGAATTGATTAAAGGAGTAATTAGGTGCCTCATTCACCATTCAAGGCATTATGAATTAAACGGGGGATCATGTGGTAGGTTGGAGGAACTATTTTTGATTTAAAGCAATCTGAGCCTGGCACACATTACGTTATGGTAATGGAAAACCTGGAGGGCAGAGAGTCGGAGCCATTTTCAAGCGCAGGAGAGGGGCTGAGTGAAGCAGACACTTCAACCCTCACTTAGAGGCTATCAGGTCTGGGCGAGATTAAGGGAAGTGTGCAGATGTAAAGGAAATAGCCCCACTATCTGCCAATTCACACATATATCCAAACATCAGACAGGTCGCTGAAGAGGCAGTTTGTGACTCATGTGCCAAAATCTTGATGGCTGAGGATGTAAAGAGCAAATAATGATCATCAAATCATTTTGGGGATTTGAAGATCTAAAAGCCGAATGTAGATGGGGATCGTTTTAGCGAGAGCTCAAGGAATTTGAAGGAGATAGGCCTTGACCGTAGCTGTATTTTACAAAAAATTGCGTACAGGAAACCACTTTATAAAGTGTCATAACTTTACATATTCATGAGAACATGTTGTAGAATCTCCTGAAAAGCTTCTGAAACTCTGTTCAGGCTTTGGGATATTACAACCTTCTTTCAAAATAGATTAAACCCAAGTTCTCTCTCAAAATTCTGCACACAAACCTCCATAATGACAATGTGGAAAAGCTGTTGTTCGCTTGCAAGTATATTAAAAAGGAGAAATCAAATGTACCTAATTATTTATTTACTTTTCTCAATATTTTCTCCATGCATATTTAGCAGCACTTACACCCGCAAGTTTTCTTGAGCTTGATACACTAATTTCTGGATGACTTACTCATTATTCTTTGGTGAATCTTCCAAGATCCAGTGTTTGAATGGGAAAAGTTGGTGCACAGCCATTTTCACATCTGTCCTAAGAAGTTCAATGGGACCCAACCCTGCTGTCTGACTGAACTGCTCAAAGTTGTCCTGATCTTTGATATCTTGGTTGAACATTAGGGGTCATTGTTCTAAAAGACTAAATGTCGCTCCAGTTGTAGGTCATTTTTCTAATTTCATTTTGCAAACCAGATCAAATTCCATACTTTCCAGTTTTTTTGTTTAAACATTGTGCACAAACCTGTCGATAATTAAAGTGTGTTCTCCAGATTGTTATGTTTACCTTTTCTACGATGTTGTTATTTATGTTTGTGATGAACCAAATCTTTGATTTAACCTGCAAGCGCTACTTTATTTGCAAAAATCTTTAGTGTTTCAAAATGCATTTGGCGCATTTGTTTATGAAACAAACACCTGAAGATCCCTCCTTCCTCCTCAGTGTAACTGTATGCGACTCCGCCGCTCACTGCTGCGTCCTCCTGAGGCCTCCGATACATCTCGCAGATCAAAAGGATTAGCCTCCCTCTCCGACAGAAGCCCCCCACCCATTCGGAACGTGCGGCACTCATGACGCTCCGACCCGCCAGCTAACTGACTCAGATAACGTCTCCCGGACCCCTGGGTCTTAATAGAGACGGATCTGGTTGCCTCTCACCTGACCCCCTCTGATCCCAAACCGGAATCAAACCAAAACAGAGAGATGAAATTCCTCCTAATAGCAACTGATCAATTCCAACAATTATTTTTGAAGGCCTACTGAGGCCGAGTCGGATTGTTCACACTCTTGCTGGAGTGTGTGTGTGTGTGTGTCGGTTTATGTTTCACTTTACTCACCATCTGCTGGGCTGAGGCCCCGCGCGGCTGGTACGACGGAGATGGAGGGGCTGCTATGGAGGGAGCGGATGTAGTCCACGTACGGGCTGATGTAGGGGTGAGGAGGGTGGAAGGGCGACTCCGCCCCCAAGGACGGGTTCCGCTGGGGGGAGATCCGAATGAGGGAGATGTCGGAGAAAGACGGCGTGCTCGCGATCGATGGAGTCCTGCAGAGACACACACAGAAGGTGAACACAGGAGGAGAACGACACGGGTTCCTCAACTCAGAATAAAAATAAACAATATGTCCACCTGAAATAAGACGGAGCTAACTTACAAGTTACTTTTCAGCAAGAGAAGTAAGCTTGTCAATAACTCCTTAATTTTGAAAAAAAAAGTCCTGCTTCCAATGGCAGAATATTTCACTTTTAACATGGGATAAATGTCCTATTAAAAGTGAAATAATCTGCTTTTTTGTCAAAAATGTAAAACTATTTACTTAAATTAAGCTTCTATATCTTGCTGAAAAGTAGCTTATATCTTAGTTTTGTCTTCTTTTAAATGTGCTGAGATATTTTCACTAGAAACCAGACCAAACATACTTGGTAAGATAATGTTTTTTTGCAGTATTAAATTTGATTATAAAGTTGCTGTGTTGTAGCCTTTTGTGGAGCATTTCATACTTAAAAATTCTCAAAAACTCAGCACCAGGTTGTTGCATCACAAATAAAATGATCACTTTAATACTGGATGATTTATTTTGGAACATTTAAACGTAGAAAATAAAACAGCAACATTTTTTAAGAGGGCAGATTCCTTTTCACAGCACTGTATAGCTGGGTGGACTGACAGCGGTGGGGCAAGACAAATAGATGGTAAAACTATCTCTCTCCTTCCCACTGCAAGGCAGGGGAGAATGCAACATTCCAACTGCTTCCTACGCAGACATTTCCTCAGATCAAAGGGAGCTTTCACCACTGCGTCTTAATCAGAGGGGAAGCGTTAGACCGAGCTCACCGCTGGCCAGAGCAAGACAAGCAAAGCTACACCACAATTCTCCATAGCTCAGATTGCTTGCAGTTGAAACCAAACAACGAACTGCACGAGATGGATCCAAAATCCTCCTTTCTTTTTTTAAATGGAGAAAAAAAATAACAGCAATGTCAGGCTTTTCTGCTTTTTTTTTCTTTTTTTCCTGAAGGAAATGTGAAGCAAAGTTGAGAAAAATTGAGAAAACTTCTCAAGAGCCAAGTTTAGCAAGAACTAATTTGTCTCCCTCCTTATAATTGGTTAGGAGGGCCTGGAAACGCAGTAATGATGGCCTTCACCACAAAGGCCTTCCCCGGAGGATCCACAGAAATCCACATATCAGCCAGACATTAACAGGCTAAAAGATTAGACTGAATTAGCCCCTCCGCTTCTCTTTGGCTCCCCCGGTGGACCGGTCTACTGCGACAAAGGACCCCAAGAGAAGGAGAGGCTGGCTGAAAGATGAAGGCAGGGAGGGGGAGAGGAACAGTGCGGGTTTAAGAGGGGAGAGGAGGAGGAGATGGAGAAGAGAATGAGACCTGGCCTCTCGGTTTGTCTCAGAGTGACCTTGAGCTAGGCCAGGGGGAGCGGAACAGCCTAATTACAACCTCCGCCCTGTCCCCTGATCCCCCACCAGCCCCTTTGTCCCTCCACTCCACAGCCCCTCCTAATGAAAGAGCTCAGGCCAGGGTCAATAATGAGCGACCGAGGAGTGGAAACGGCGCACAGACGCACGCAGGACACATGTGAGCACAAACCTCCAGAACATCCTCCAGGAGATGTTCTGTAATTAGCCACAAAAAGGGTCTGCAATGGGACGATTTATAAGGCTTTCATTTCGCTCAGGTGTGCGACATTGTGCCTCGTGATGCTGATGTAATCTATGATGGGAAATCAGCGAAACCCTCAGAAAGGCATCCGAACTTTTCAACGTGACCGCTCGTTTGTTTTCCACATTCCAGTTTGCATTCTTTCGCACGGTAGCAGATGAGTAATTTCTTATTTCCTCCACCCCGCTACCGGGCCACGGCGAGGGCATCTTCAAAACAGAAAGAAAAAAAAAAACAGTGACAGTGCATGAAAGAGATGTATTTACGATAAGCAAGTCATCAGCCCGCACGCCACCATTTACATGGCTCATTTATAGAGAACATGACATAGCTGCAGCTGACATTCACTTTGTTGTCAGGTAGACGAGCAAATAACTCACACGTACACAGAAAAACTTTTTTAGCAGCATTTGAAGATGAAAGGAAACATAAAAAACCAGCGTTGCCACCAACAAACAAATTGGTCCACCCCAATAAATTGGAAAATGACTTAAATCTTAATTGAATATGGCTTTCAGCTAATGGAAACCCAAAATACAACTTCTCCAAAACCTAAAAAAAAATGATTTCTAAGACTTTTAAGTCCTGCAGTCAACAAGGTATGCTAGAAAAGTTCATTGCTATAGTAGCTGGCAGTTCGCAGAATTCTATATACAAGGATATTGATGGAAAGTTGTGTGGAAGGAAGAAACTGCATACAAAATATGTACACAAGCAACTGGCAAACCTGAAAAACCTTGTGAAGATTATTGAGGATTGTGAAGTAAAAAGTGTTTAGAAGACATTTTAAATTGTGGCTGTCGTCAGAGAGCAGCAGCTACACACAGATACTTCCTGGACTGACACATTATTGGTCAACCTCAGGAGAGTCTCATCTGGGTTCAGGAGAAAAACTGGACTGTTGTTCAGTGGTCCGAAGCTCTCTTTTCATATGAAAGCAAAGTTTGCATTTCATTTGGAAATTATGGTCCTGGAATCTGGAGGAGCACATGAGAGGTACATAATCCATAAGCTTTACATGTAACATATCTGCATTCGTAATGTTTTTTGGGTTAGTTTTGTGTTTATTTCAGCTTCATTTAGCAGAAATAAACACCTTAAATACATATTTTTTTATTGACTAGAATAGAGCAGAACACACACACACATATATATATCAAATTAGATATGTAAAAACTCATCGAGTCTGTTAAAAGGTGAAAAGGCCAAAAAGCGGTTTGAAGGGAGGGCAGACTGTTCACTTGGAGCAGGAACAGAAGTCAGCAGGAGCATGTGAAGATGTGAACTATGTGTTGGGGAGGGGAGGGTACATGAGGAAGACTTACAGCGGTGCAGGAGCTGGACAAGGAGAGGAGAACAAAGATGTCTCAGGGGGTACAGAGCCAGGTGTGAGGGGATTTCGGGAGGACAGCTATGAGATGGATAGCTCGGAGGAGCGTGAGGAGGAAAACGCAAGACGGCGGCCTGATGCTGAGGTTTTCAGCTCCTCTCCGCTGAGCCGCGATCATCTTAGCATCTGCCAGTGTGCATTAATCTACGTGACAAATGGAAAGGAATCTGACAAAGAGCCGTGTGTGTGTGCCGGAATGCTAGTCGTGTGTTTGTGTGTGTGCCTGAGAAATAGAGTTTTAGATACACCTGATTTGAGATTTACATCAAAGTTGCACCTCAGGCTCCTTCTTCCCAGAGAGAAAACGCTACTTCCCTTCTTCTCCTCATACTCTTGCTTTACAATTCCTATTAACGTACACAGAGCACATCCGGCAAACATGGCACAAGGACAGCCTGAGCTTTTGCACATATGGAAGCCATTTCCTTTCACGTGGCCTCAATTATACCAGCCAGCGTCTCTTTTAAGCCAGTACATGTTTGCACTGGGCGGCCTGCGGGTTTTAAACTGTCGTCTAATTTCACCAGATGAAAATACACTTGTAAGTGTGCATGTGCACCCAGATGACTTCGAGGTTTTACGGAGCACTGCGTGTTCGCATAGGCAGGCCTTGACTCTCAGTTTGGAACGAGGTTGTATCAACACTATTAATTTTTGGGTAGAGAAAACTGCAAAAACAACACAGTTGCGGGGAACGCTGGTGACTACGCTCAAGCAAAGAAGGTATCATTGTGGTGCGGCAGTTAGACCTGGTGGTATGGGCACAGCGGTTGGCTAAAATAAGAGCCGAGCGTTGCCAAATGCTTACAGTTCAAGTAAGAAATGGATAAATAGAAAATACAACAGAAATGTCCCTTATGAGGACTTTGGAGTTCAGGCTCCATGAGACAACAACTGCTGGAGAGAAGAAAAGGAAAAATAAAACAATTGCCGCATCTTCTAGGATATGCTTTAAAAAACAAAACATATCCAGTCCTTAGCAGGTCGGTCCATATCTGTGTATAATTTTGCCAAAATGCTGCTTATCTCACCAATTTGAGATCATATGTAGTACCACAAGTTTTCCTAAAGGTTTCAATGAAGTATTTGGAACATCCACATGCTCACACCTGTGGCCACAAGGGGCTGATTGATGTGAGAACTGTTGTTTTTTTTTCTCTGTCAGGTCATCTCCTGACTGAGGCTGACAGCATTGCACATCCACTCCCCCCTCCAGGCTCACCTCAGCCTCACTACCTCACAGATACCCGCACCCCCACATACACTCGCAAACCTCCAAACCCACCCAGCCGAACAGCGGCACAACACTGCCGTGACCGCTCTGAAAGCCTAAACCAGAGAGGAGGAAAAAAAAAAAAGAGAGAGAAGGGCTCCTGACAGCGGAAACAGAAGCACTTTAAAGCTCCAAACCCTTTCACTCAGATCAAAGGGCCAAAGGAACAGAGCCAGCTGAGACCCAAGAAGAGAGGAGAGGGAGACGAGACAAGGGGAGAAAGAAGACAGACACAGTAGAGACTGGGAGACACAAACAGGTTGAATGAGTTCTTGATGATTCAGTGGGAAAGTCTCCATTAAGTTCCACTTTTAATGGACATTTCACATATTTTGTGCTGCTTAAACGGAAGTCATGGATATATTCTAAAAAGGAGAGTTTTATACCAAATATTGAGCTCAACCATTACAAAAGATGTGCTTGAGTGAAGCTCTTAAAAGACTCATTTTACTCTCGACCTCAATTTTTACATTTCTCTTCTGAAACATATCTGAATAAAATGCTCAAATCATCAGCAGAAATCTGTGAAACATGGCTGAAAACTGAGGAGGTACCTCAGCCATTTGATCAGGTGCTTTGGAGCAGGGACACATGCAGAATTTGTAAGACATTGGCCCTCGAGGACTCGAGTTTGACATCTCTGCTTCAAATGTCTTCATTATCAGATCCAGCTTGGATCAAACTATTTGCTGTGGATCATCTTAA